TTTTCTACTAACCGTTTTAAAGTTTGATATATTTATTACAGCAACAAGTTTGAAGTTAGGAAAGTTTGGTATATCTGTATATGTTAATATTCCAAAATTAAATATTCACAAAATTCCGATATTTAGCTTCTTTCGTCATAGTCATTAAGCGAATTCTTTTCTTCATACCGTCAGTTAATTCATGAATTACTCGACTAACGTCTTGCCCCCCCCCCCAATGGCACATCGGTATGTCTGCGGACTTATAACGCTGGAATCCGGGTTTCGATACCCGTGGTGGGCAGAGCACAGATAGCCCATTGTGTAGCTTTGTGCTTAATTACAAATAAACAATCTAACATCTTGACAAAATACCTTAAAACCTCTCGTTTTTTTTAATTTTGTACAATAATCGTGACACAAAAGATATTTAGGGATAGCTTTGTACTTTAATCTCTTTTCAAGCATCATTAATATTTAACAAGAACTTTTAATAAGTATAATAGGAACAATATGTTATTAATCATAACAGATACGAAGTTTTTATGTACTGTATCTGTCTTTACGAGTGTACCATATTTCGGCAAAACTTTTATATTGCTAGGACTGTTTACTCAGCCTGAAAGTGACAACTGCAGCGCCCCTAGCGGTACGTTTGATAGACAACAGGCTGCCATATACAAAGTCTACACCTATACACACAAAATACGCTCGCTGTTTATATGAAACTGAATCTAACAAATTGAGTGACACCATTCCTAGTTTTGGTTTACATGTTTAATAAACATCCTAATTACCGTTTGTAATAGAATTTCCATATTTTAACTCATGTTGGTTCTACCCAAGATTTGTGATTTGTTACAAAGCGAGCTAGGACACTGAGTATACAAGAACAGGTAAGACTACTGTAAAAGTTATATTCCTGTAACTGCTGGTAACACATGTTTTACCATATTAACATTTAAATTGTCATGCTGTCTGTTGATAACCCATTGTCGTCAGTGTGGTTAACTGCTGGGAAAGGGTGTTTCTTGCTCGTGATTCACAGTAGTCTTACCTGTTCTTGTATACTCAGTGTCCTAGC